ATTCTCTTGTGTATCCTGAGTTTAGCACCAACTGAACAAAGACAGGAAATAAATGTAAAATGGAATTATTCTGAACTGAATAGATACTGCTAGGAAGGAAAAAATTTCTATCATTGGCCTTATCAAATAACTTGTCTGAGGAAACAGACAAAAAAGGTTATATTAAAGGAGAGTTGATTAATTTATTATATTTATTTTCCTGAGTATATGAATTTGAATTTTTGGATTTTTTGCCCCAGGTCAAAAGCCTTGGGGCACAGGTATTAAATTGGGCTGGATGCATCATGCGCAGGTCATGGCCACCCCAGCTCCGTGAAGGAAAAACATTGTGATACGACATGTGATGGCAATATGACGCCGCAGGTTTGACACCCGTGCTTTAGGGCATTACTATTTAATCTGTTACTGATGGAAGAATATCTGATGAATTATTAACATAATGATTAACTTGATAAATGCAATAGCATTTAGATTTATATACCGCTTCATGGTGCTTTTCAGCTGTCTAAGCAGTTTACAGAGTCAGCATATTGCAGTCAACAATCTGGGTCATTTTACTGAGTTCAGAAGGATGGAAGGCTGAGTCCACCTTGAGCCGGCGAGATTCAAACTGCCCAATTGCTGGCAGTCGGTAGTCAGCAGAATTAGCTTGCAATACTGCTTTCTAACCACTCTGCTGCTATATATAGTCCAAAACCATAATTTACATAGGACAGCAAGATGTAAATTTTTGTATAAAAATGAAAACAAACTGAAACAGCCAAATATTTTGTGATATTGTAAAATCAAAAAAATTTATCAGTACTAAGATAGAAATGGTGCTGCAGATGATTATATAAGCATTTGCTGCATGTTTTAATAGAATGCTAAATTTCACTTTGAATCTGTCTCTATCATTTGAAGGATACTTTTAATGTAAAACAGAACCCAAGCTGGATTCTTGGGCAAGCTTCCTATATCAGAGTGTTCTTAATTCTGCAGGCAGTTAATCAGGATTCAAGCATATTGTAAGGCTTGGCAGCAAGTTAATTCCTTTTCAAAGAACTCCCTTTAGTTGGGTTCATTTAACCAAAGACAAAAAAATGAGTACTTTCATTATTTAAGAAGTTTATTACTAATTTCTATGCTTCTTGGCCAAAATTTAGGTTTGACCTAAACAAATTTATTGCAGTTCTGTACATAGGGGACTTACTGAATTATAGGGTGGTTGTATCTGTCTGCATTTGAAAAAGGTCTCCCCACTTCCTCTCCATTGTCTGGATTTTAGTAGATATGGTTAGAATTCTCTGGCATGCTAGAATGTATGAAAGTTACAAGCAACTGCTTTCTCCTACTCCTTTAATCGTTCTATATTGAATGTTGAATTTAATATATTTCTATATCATATCCATTATTATACACCTTAAGGTAAAATGATTAAAGTATAACTATGAACATGTCCAGTTAAAAACTGTATAAAGTATTATTTGTAATTATGGAAAGTGTATATGTTTATATGCTATTTTTTATTTTAACTGAGATCCACATATAGTACATATCTAAAATAAATATATACCAGGATCTATAGAACAGACAAATCTGCTGTCAGTTTCAAACTGTGGCCTGCCTCTTCCTTTAGCTATTACATAGCTGTTAGAAAACACTAGTCAGACTTGGATCTATCATAAGCAGAACCATCTGGATTGCGCTGCACATGACACTTATGGCATTCCAATGCTACAAAACAACATGCATTTTATAAGACATTATATACAGGGAGTCCTCAACTTATGAGCACAACTGAGCCCAAAATTTATGTTGCTAAGTGAGAAATTTGTGAAGTGAGTTTTGTCCCATTTTACAACTTTTCTTGCCATATTTGTAAATGAATCACTGCAGTTGTTAAATTAGTAACACAGTTGTTAAATGAAACTGGTTTCCCCATTGACTTTTCTTACCAGAAGATCGCAAAAGATGATCGCATGGCCTCAGGACACTGCAACCATCATAAATGCGAGTTAGTTGTCAAGCATCTGAATGTAAATAATGTGACCATGGGGATGATGCAATGATCATAAGTGTGAGAAACGGTCATAAGTCAGTTTTTCAAGTGCCTTGTAACTTCAGTCACTAAGTGAACTGTTGTAAGTCGAGGACTACCTGTACCATGGATTCTTCTAAAGTATATAGTTATCAGCTAACCTTTGTTGTTTCCTTTTGCAAAGATATGTAGAAGCAAAAGATCAAAATAATAAAATATGTGTTGTTACCCTAACACGGGATGTTAAACTTGCATGCCACATGCAGCTTATGACATTTTGGTGGCAAGCAACAATGAAAGATAAGCCCTCTGGACTATATTTTTCTTGATTGGTGAGGTTGCATGCTCTCCACCCATTTCTGTGGGTGTAGGGAGAAGCAAGAGCAAAGCAGACAGATGGTCTAGACAGAGACAAAGAGGGAAGGATGGGAAGAATATCATCTGTGGCCCAGAACAATGGAAAGCTCCCACTCATTGTACATAGAAAGAGAGCAACTGCCAGAATTACAGCAGAAGGTTGTCTGTCATGACCAGAAACTTGATGCTCTCTGGGGACATAGTTGAGCAAGACATGTGGAACATTGTGTAACTGGCAGACATGTGGAGCACTGTGACATTCATTGGGTTCATCACAGTCACTGAGGCCAACAACTCAAAGCTAAGAACAAAGCATGATTCTGCCCCAAGGAAGATGAAGGATGGCCTGGCATCAAGGCATTACCCCAGCTAGACCCAAGGGGAGCATCTGTTTTTTCCCAGTTGCCTGTTTCCCCTGCCACCATCACTACCATTGCTTCTCCTTATCTGGAAAGACTGCATTGTTGTAATTAGGCTTCTGAATTAATAATGCAGCATTCAGTTGAATACAGAGGTTATCAATGAAATTATCCATGTGGACTCCTAGTTTGGGTTTGGATTTTTTAATTCTATGATTCATACAAATATTGAAAACTCATGCAAATTAATATAACTTTTCTTTATTTTGAAAACCTGGATTTGGTCCCAACCCAGATTAAATGTTCAATGACCCCCATTTTTTGTTAGTTTGTTGTTTATTGTGTTAGTGTTGCTCTCTCTGATATTTTGCTCTGGAATGTTTCATTTAATATTGTCTTTTATCTAGTTTTGTACCTTACCCATAGCCCACTGGAGTTGGGCTGCCAACAATAGATAAATACTATTCATGAAAATTGTATAAACACTTTCTTTTACACTATTTTTTATTATTTTAATTTTTTTGTCCTAGGGAAAGATGAGAAATAAACTGAACTTCAGAACTCAATTTCCAAACACTAGAAACATTTTCCATAGCATAAATTTGCGTGTCTGTTGAGTTCAGAGATACTTTATCCCAAGCAAATATGCATAGAACTTCAGCTTAGCATTTTTTATTCTTATACTTGCAGGTGTATGAAAAAGGAGGTGGGGTTGTTAAGTAAAACTAAGACTTTTGAAAATGGAACAGATTCAGAATCATGGCATTCATACCTCTCTGAGCTAAATTAGGGAGACTATTTTAACTTTACCATCTTGAACATGAACTGTTTATATATCTTGAATTTACCTGTTTCTACAAATTTTTCAGGGGGGAAATCCTCAAGTTATTACATTATGGTCCTCTTCTAATTAATTCCTAATGGTTTATAAATACCTCTTAATTATATCTTAATAAGACTGAAAGGCTTCACTGGCTAGATAACAGTTAAAATGCATATAGCATAGGTTTTCATACACAAAGTAATTACTGGCTTGATAGTGTTAGTAAGTAATCATGTTTTGCTGCACTTATGCAGTAAAATGCCTGAAAGCTTTAGTTTTATTCCATTATACCTCTAGAAAAGATCAAGGGTCAGAGTTATAATTGCAGGGACAGCACTATAAATTCACAGCTATGTATTTTTTTCCTTCAACACTTTGGTAAGAGAGGTCAGGAAAACAATGATTACAAAGGGAAAAAGCACTCTGCTTTAAATTTGCCCACAATGTGGTCCAAAACAATTAGCCTGTAGGCCTATGCATAGGTCCAGATTCAAGGGGCAAAATTAGATTTGGAAACTATGCACAGTACATAAGTACCTGTTATGGACATCCCAGTTCCATCTTTCCCATGATATCATATATTTTGTTCAAGATTGTGTGTTTGCTTTTCCCTATTCCCAATCATTTTTTATTCTTCAATTCATGAAGAAGCCTATAATACCACTGGATAGAAAGAAAAATGTTGCCTGCTTTTGTTTCATCTGAACTGAAACAGCAATTCATTCAAGCTACTTTTCTACAACACATAGTAAACTATTTGCTTCTTGAAAGGTATGGAATAGCCTGCTTCCTTGTGAGAAAATGAAAGGTATGAATTCTAAAAAGGGTTTTGAAATGTTGAACCTAATTAATATGAAATATAAATCTATTTACAGACATGGTCACTAAACGGCTCTTTAAGAATGTTTACATCATTCTATCTGTCAATTTCCAAGCACAGAATTAAAAGCAACAAAAGAAGACAATAATGAACAATCTAATTAATAGCATCAGAGGATAATCTAAATCGGTGCTTTTTAAACTTGCCAATTTTAAGATGTGTGGATTTCAATTCTCAGACTTCCTCAGCCAGCCTGCTGAGTCCACTTATCTTACAGTGGCCAAGTTTGAAGAACACTGATCGAAGTCAAACTATACAAAGCATGGCGACCGTACGTTGCCTTTAACTTTCTCTTTTGTTAAGATAAACATCTCCAGCTTCCTTAACTAGGCCTTGATAGGTATTTTCTGAGTCCGCTCCCGCTTCTCCACGCTTATACAATCAGTAATGTGGTACTCAGACCCGACCTCGTACTCCCAACTGCGCTCTAATCATCCTAAAACAGGATAAAATGCAGCCTTCTCGCGATGCGGATGTGAAAGCTCTTTTTTTCTTCGGCCTTTTAGTCATCTGTGGTGCTCATCTGTTGCTAAGGGCAACCAAGCCTTTTCCGCTTCTAGCCAATATGGCAGCGCCCTGGCTGAGTTCGGCGCGCCACCTCTCTATCGTTCCCATCACAGGCAAGGAATTCCGTTGACAGCAGTCGGGTAGGAAAAGGAGAGCGCTGCGCGACACGGGTGTTCACGAAGTGGGGAGGTTGTCGTCTGCGGTTAACGACTCCCGGGAAGGTTTCCAAGGCTAAGCCCGGTGCCCGGAGGGAAAAGAAAGTAAGGCGGGCCAATAATCGCGGAATGAGATAAGGGGACGTGAGCGAAGAGGAGAGGGGATGGTAGAGCACTTTGCTGCCTTTGAAGCAGAGGTTTCCTTCTTTTCCGGCCAAAAGCAGCTGTGGAGCCGCTCAAGGCGCAGGCTCAAGGCGCTGACCATGTAAAGGGCGGGAAAGTGTTTTGTCTTTCTGGTTGCTGTAAGCTTGAAGCTTCATTTCTAGGCATTTTAATTGTGTAATTTTTCAGAGATGAGATGATAAGATGCCAGGCCCGATTGATTAATCGGAGCATTTTTGTGAAGTTTTGAATCATGGAATTTAGTTTTTAATAACGGTACTAAGTTGAACAACTAATATCATTTATCTTTACAGGAATTTCCTCATTTGTAATCAGAAATTTATATCTTGTCACCTTCAAAATGTCTGAATCAAAGTTTCGTGAGGTTTTGCCCAAGCAAGGTAAGCAGCATTTATTACTAAGAATGGGGGGTGGGGGGGGCAGCAAAATCCACCTTAATGTTCTCCAGAGTCCTTTGTAAGAATTCTGCACTTATTACTTTAAATTAAGGGGCGGCTTATGTGGGGATTTTTAAATGTTGTAAGTTGTTTGGAATCACCTCTGTGTGAGTTGGGAAGTTATAAAAATTAGTTTAATAAAGTCACAAAGTAATTACAGATAACTAGTCATTTATCATTCTATATTATATGAAAAATACACACGTTTCCTTCTTGGCAATACCATTTCCTTTTAAAGTAGTCTATATGGCATAGATGGAAGCTTATTTCAGACTGAAGATATGAGTGATTTTGTTCAAATAGCAAGATTCACCTACTAAAGCTTGATTTAGACCAAAGATAGTCAAAAGGTAGATTGGATGAATTCTATTTTCCAACTCTACAATTACAAAACAAGTTTATTTTTGCCCTTTTGCCTTAAAGCAGCAGCAGTCAATTTTTCTGGCTGTGTGGACTTCTGTCTTTTAAATTATCCCTTTCTGAAGTCGATTTTGCTAGCTAAAATGCTGTGATTCCATTTTGAGTGTGAAGTTGGAAAGTATCACATTTGAAATCTCTTAATGCGATTGTCTTGTGTGAAAAATCAGCCCCTATTTTGCAGTATTTACATATACACGGATATACACATCAATAATTTTATGAGATCTGAACAGGAACTGTAATATTTGAATCTGTTTAATCTCAATATATCTGAATTTATTCTCTGATATTATTAGACATCTATTTTTATTGCTTTAGGGATGTTAGCAGTAGAAGATGTAACTACCATGGTGATGTGCAAGCCTAAATTGCTGCCATTAAAATCTGTTACTTTGGAAAAACTTGAGAAAATGCAACGCGAAGCACAGGAAATTATTCAACAACAGGAACAAGCTGCACAGCAGTGTTCAACATCTGCTCTTGATCAATAAAAAATCTATGATTTTCCTACTGGGTCTGTATTAGTGTATGTAGCAATACAATGACTTACGGATAACAAGATGAAATATTTTTTATCAAATGCATTTTAGATAAATGTTTACATGTATTATAATTTGTAAATATCTGGAAAACTATCAAAGTTATATTCAGCTTCTTGCTTTACAGGCTGCATATCTTGTTATAACATTAGTGGAATTTCTGAATAAATGGTTTTGCTACCAAGGTTTCATATATGCTGAGCCATAAAGTGATTTCTTGATTTTGACTTTGTGTTACATGAATATGGCTTTTAAATCATGACTCAGTGTAAACCAGATTTAGAAAGTTCAAGAGTAATGATTGTTATTAGAGGCCTTATGATGTATTTAATATTCATCTGGAATATTGTCCTCACAAGACATAAATTATGCAGTGGGGAAAAACACTACTCTTTGAGCATAAAGAAAGTAAGAGGATGCTTTAGAAAACTAATCAGTCCCCACTTACAATTATTGTAATTAAATTAGCTAGTAGGCTTTCAGCATTCAAGTCTGAATATAGCAAAGGTATTTCTAAAATGCAAACACACTGAAGAAACCTCAAATCTACTGAAGTTTATTAATGGAAAAGAGAGTAGTATGCTTTCTAGAGGCTTCCTCTTCCCAGATCCAGCCTTAAACTTCTAAACATTCAACTCCAACCTTTCTGGCATATTACTGGAATAATTTTTATGACTCTACAACTGCTCAGATTAGTAAATTGCATCTTGCAAAGGGAAAGTTGCCCCTAATGAACAATGTTTATGAAAAAGGAACATCAGGATATCATGACTGTATAGCATTACTGTAGTCTCAGTGGAACCTAGTTTACAACATATTCCCAACATACTAAAGGTATGTAAAAAAAGGAAGAATGTAATTTATACATGCATTGTGCTTGTTTATTCCCAAATTTAGTTCACTGATGAAATCAAGTAATATACGAACATATACCTCCTTTTAGGACTAAGGTGAGAGATTTAGATATAATTTTCAATGTAAATCAACAGGTACTTCTAGAAGTTAAGAATTTGCTCTACAAATTTATTTTACAATATACTCTATAATTACCCTTTTTCCAGTTTTATAGAAAAAGAATAGATGTTCCAGCCACCATTTGCTGAACTAAAGACCAAGATCGTCCTCTGAAAAATGTTTTGATCATACTAAATGTCTTAGCTCCTTTAAAACAAGTAACTTTTTTCTGTCTTGGTAGCAGCAAAGTAGAGGTCTAGCAGCTTAATATAACCCATTGCTTTGAATAAACCAATGATTTTATCACAAAATGCTGTCCTCAAAAGAAAGGAGCTGCAAGCAGGCATTAATGCAAAACATGGAATGAATTTACGGCACTTAATAAAAGATTGCCTTGTTTTTGCAAATTTCCATAGAAATCTGGTTATTTGTTCTGTCCAACTATAGGTCAGAGAAATGAAAGTTGGAAGATTTCTTGCATGAACACAAGTTTATATAACCATCAGCAATTATTAGTGCCCCCAAACAAGTGCATCTTTTAAAAATAAATGAACTGTGCTAAGCAACTATTACTATAGAATATATACACATATATTCCCTTTAAACATCTACAGCTGCAAGAGTTCATTCACATATTCAGTAGCTCTCAGACTTCAGACGCCCTCCATCTCCTTCACTTACAAAGCGTTTCCTTCCCCTAAAAAAAATAAAAAAATACAGATATCATTTCAGCATCTCCACTATTATTTTACATGGCTAGAGAGTTATCCATCAATCTGGGGAAATTATACATTAAGTAAACAACTGATCAAGTGTACATCAGCTACATACAGGCTTTAATTACCAGATTTTCTGCTTGTAAGATTAAGATTGGTAAAAGGAATAAATAGCTAAGGCCATCATTAAGCTATAAAGAAACTCTGGCATAATTAAGGCTAAACAGAGATTCCCGAAAAAGCACTTTTCTTCATAACCAAATGAAAAGCAGAATAGTTTTAATAAATAAAAATTGAATTTACCCTTAATTTAATTACAGAATGTTTCAAATATGTAAAAATATTTGGCAAAAAATATGACGGAGCTCAGAAGAGAATCTGGCAATATGTCCAGTCTTGCAAAAATAAATAAATGTAAATACAAATGTAAAAAAATTACCTTAATGGTTTGAATAAGTGAGACTTTAGCTATCTGCACATTGTGCCTAACTGCAACCTAGCAATGCAGATAAAGTATTAATCCAAATAAAAGCAAAATACAAAAAATTCAATATGGGAAAATAAGACTCTGCCTATTTCATAGGAAATGCAGGTTTTTAACTATATGTAATTAACAAATAGTGCAACAGTAATAAAATTTTTGTATGGTGCTTATAATTTTATATGCTGCTGGTGTTTCAGTAGCAGTATGTCATTAGGTAGTCTTAATAAAGACATCAACATGTCATTAGTTAGAATTATAAATGGTTTTATAGACAGTTTTAAGCAACATAGTTTTGGACACACAAGTTGCCCATTATCAACAAAATATGGACAAGTCTATATTATAGACATTTGAATACTAGCTTTAAAAGGGTTATTCACATTTCTGAGACGTTCACATGAAAAATGAATAAGAACCTTTTGCAACGTACTTATTAGTTATTTCTGAAACATATGAACATAAATAAACAGACAAATACACATATACTTAAATGTTTACCTGGAAGGACAGAGATCCCTTAATGGCTTTGAAATTATTCCAGCACTAAAGCATTCCTCTACAAATCGCTCAAGTACAGAATATGAATGTGGAACATCAAGATTAATGTCTGGGATTTCATGATAAACACGTTCATAACCCTGCAACATCAATATTAGGTGGAAGTATTTAGAATTTAACTCAGACCGATTCTGTATAAAAAGTCAATCTTTAAATTTTCATCTCAATAAATAAAGCTCCAAAATAGAGCATTTTCTGATAAATAGGTCAAGTAGCAAATAATGGCAAAGATTTCTGCCCAATCAAAATAAACTTAGATGTTCTAACATTGATCTTCTGCAAAGCAGTTTCCATTATTTTTTTAAAATGTATACTTTCAAGTTATGTAACAAAACAAACATTTTGTTATCTAATCTTAATTTAGAGCAGAGCTATTAATGTTACTTGGTGAATACAAATAAGTGCAATCTATCAAGCATTAAAATATTAACGGATAATACTTGGGAATGTATAATGCATATTTACTCTTTTCATTTGGTCCGTAGTGATGACAGCAGATCTCCAGAGGGATTTCAACAAACTGAGCATCATTTTAAAGTTTGTTTCTCCAGTTGATTCCAAAACCATCACAACTGCCTAAAATGTAAATATAAATTTAATTTTTAATTACAATGGTTAAAAAATATGTATTTTTAAATTGCTGAACTATTGAGAAGGCCCTAGCTATTGCATCAGGGTCAAAAAGAGGCTAGAATTGAAGAAGCTGATGCTATCCAATCACACTTTGTTATTCAGGTTCATTTTTGGCAAAAAAAATTGCTTCAAGAATATAACATATATGCATATACAAAATGTTTATAAACATTTAAAATTTATAAAAGAATTCAGGCAAGATTTCTGTTGTGTCATATTCACCAGTCCACTTAAAATATCCCAACATTATTGGCAGCTGCCCTCCATGATTTCAGGTAGTAGGTATTTCCATCTTACTTGCAGAAAACCAGAGGCTAAATCTAGAATATTCAGCATTCTTAAAGAGTTTTAGGTTTTTCATTACATTTGAATGAGCTTGGACAGGATCACTTACTGCAGAAAGGAACTTATTTACAATGTATGTTTATCAAAATAAGCTAATAAAATAGTATTTTATGAGCAGTGGTGGCACAGTAGTTAGGTGCAGTACCTCTGCTGACTGCAATTTGGCAGTTCAAATCTCACCAGGCTTAAGGTTGAGTCAGCCTTCCATCCTTCAGAGGTGGGCAAAATGAGGACCCAAATTGTTGGAGGCAATATGCAGACTGTATAAACCACTTAAGAGAGGGCTGTAAAGCATTGTGAAGCGGTATATAAGTCTAAGTGCTATTGGTATTATGTACCCTAGGCTGCTTACAAGAAGTAGCTTGACAACCATTACAGATAGTATAATTATATAAACTACCTAGTCATAATATGTTTATATTTTTTGATTATTAAACAATTAAATTACTACTGCCGATTTTTGTTTTATTCCTGCCTTACTTCATATACAAGTTCATGGTGAAAATGAGGTACTTCTAACTCTTGAAGACAACGTTCCGCTTCAGAAACATCTCCTGAAAGGAGGTACTCCTTCAACAGCATATCAATCTATTGAATTAAAAAGATAACACTATATTAGGCTAAGAAAACTAAGTTTTTTCTAAAACCTATAAGGATGTAAATCTACATTTCCATTTCATATACAAAAAATAAAAAACAGAATCATAAAATACAAACAGCACACAGTAATATTTATACATTTATTATATACAGAACAATTATAACAGTCTATAACAATTATATATTTTTATTATGTTTCAGCTGCAGGTTATTATTTTCTTTGAATTTCTCAGTCCCAACTTGCAAACAAATAAATATATACATAAATACATACAAACACACACAAGTCAGACCCCACAGTCACCATGTTTTATTAATATCATTATTTTATTAATATATTTATGAACATTATTTAAAGGAAACGTTATTGTACTTAGAAATGTCCAAAAGTCATGCATCAAACAAACAAGCCAGTGTTTAGAAGAAAATAGCAACCAATTCAAACATTTAATGTATTTTTATGTGATAAACTGTCTATATGTCATGATTTTTGATATACCATTTATAGGAATAAAGTTAATATGAAGTCACAAAAAATCCATGCAGTGTTTTATTCTTTTAAAAATCTCATTATGCTGAGATGCTTAAAGTACAAAATACAAGGGTCATTTTCTAGTCTAAATTATAATTTTTGTGTAGGTCATCAACATACTTTGTAATATATAAAATCCAATTAACAAATAGAGTCTACATTAAATATACGGTATGTATATGCCGCACATTTTTAATATAAAGCCTGTTTTCAGCAGTGTATAAACACATTGCATAGTTTCAGCGGTTCTTCGGCTCAAGGAATGTTATCCGTTCTTAAGTACGAGTTTTGACTTATACATAATGTAAAGTTGAGGACTGAGAATGGAACTTGTTGTTCACGGGGGTCTGCCTGTATATTTCACAGGGCTGTTTTTTTTCTCTATTGTCAGATCTGACTTTAGATGTAGGAGCCAATAAGGCACAAACACACCATGCTAATGCTTGATTGGTTGCACCATAAGATTACTTCATGCAACATCACAAATACATGCTGTGTTCTTTCCCTACCACCCAATTCACAGCAAGCAGCACAGAACTATTGCTGCTTCCTCTGCTTACTGTTTTTCTTCTTAAAGCTGCAGAAACAGTAAAATGTAACAAAGAAAAATAAAGGACTATAAAATGTCTATAACAATTCTGCAACTGATTTTCTTAACAATTACCACATATTTATAGCCAGTTAATACACTTCAAACA